GATATATCGTATCGTGACCCCTCTGTCATGATATGTATCGTATCGCCAAATTCTTGCCAATACACAGCCCTAAATAGCAGGAAAACATCTAGTTTCAGAGAATCCTGATCATTAGGAATTACTGTATTTATTCATGTATAATACTAGAAATTTAACCCTAAAAATCATCCATAAAGTAGGGGGTTGTATTATACACGGGTTATTGGTGATTAGATTTTTTWATGCTTTTTAAGCTCAAAAATGATGATCGTATTACACTTGAGAACGTGTTATACATGAATAAATAYGGTAGTTATGATTTTACTTTGAGCCTTTGGACTGTGTTAACGTAGCAGTGGTTTAGGTAACTCTTTTTCTAAAGTAAGCTGAGAAGACTCAGCGTAGCTCCTTCCCATCCAGTCCTGATCTGGGATCAGCTTGCGTGAGTTCTGACACCTCCACAGACACACTCATTTGTCGCCAGAGCTTCTCAGAGTGTTTGGTTACTGTACACACAGACACCCTCGGCCTCAGCTGGGAAACCCGTCGGCATCAGACCGACAATACGAGCAAAATTAAATCACATATCAGGAAGTGACGACCGAATCTACATACCTTCACATTATCAGACTTCATTTCATTTTCTTCATACAGGCCTTTCATAAAACTGGTGGTCCTGATCACCTGAAAGTTAAAAAGATTCCTTCTTTTTATTCATAAAACTTTAAAATATAGCATATTTAATGTACAAACAGACAACTGTAGTTCAAATATGTGACCCATCATATGGAAATGAAGATTAGGTCAAAACATAGAAGCACCTTTTTGCAACAAAAAAACTGATTTTGAGGAAAAATGCCTTAAAACTTTGAGATTTTCCCTGAGCTAGAAATGTTTTAGTTTCTTTCCAGATGGTAAATCTCAATATTTAAATACTATTTAAAGTTTCTTCTTTATAATGACATTGCAAATTCCTCCTTAAAATGACATAAAATTAGGATTCAGACCAAATATTATTGTATCATCATAACCAACAAGACAAAGTAAGTCATATCTCTGGATCCACGTATATCAGGATGATCCGGGTATCAAAATGAAGCTTTTAAAGCAGGAATCTGAAAATAGGATGAGGTCATTTTGACCAAATTTGACTTAACCCTCATTTCAATATGATGGGTCACATTTATGACAAGAGTGGAAGGTGAATGTCTCAAAACAGGCTCAGTTTTGTTGTTTTTTTTTTAACCCAAGAGGGCTAAAGCTGGGTTGTGACATCTGTAAGAACAATATCTAAAGCTATCTCAAATGTCCAAACACACCAATCAATCAATATTAAGGCCTTCAATCAGTTCAATCTGACAAAAACATTGATGTGCAATTGATCAAACACAACCTAACTCCTATAATAAACCATGAACAGCAGAGCTATATATTAAAAAAAAAGGCTGCACAGCATAACTGCTTAAATCGATACTTGCATTATGGAAACAAACTAACTGGAGATTTATAAAACTAACAACAAATGTGCTAATTAAGCTAAAGGTTAGAGTATTAACTACCTGTTTTCAGATTAAGTCGTACTTAGATTAACACTGATGCTGAGGCGGTTCCTGTTCATGCTAACTCTGCTAGCTTGTTCGGCTGTGATTTTTAAAGGATGACTCGAGTTTTATTGTTCATAAAGCACGTTTTAAATGCTCCTGGCGCCAGTTTTAAAATGTTAAAGGYGAAGTAGCTGGTTTCAGCCTCACCTCGCTGAAGATGTCGTGAAGGTATCGGAACGGCGGCTTGCTAAGCAGCTTCTCCGTGAGCGGCGGCTTCTTTATCACTTTGCCCAGAGTGTCCTGAGTCTTTTTCACCACCGCCGCGTTCATGGCGGCAGCAGGAAAAGAAAAAAAAAAAAAAGAAAAAACACGGCTAAACACTTCGACAGCAAGAGGCGAAGCGAAAACGAATCCCAAACAGAAATACTCAGCGCTCAATACACAGCGTTGCTATGTCAATACTGAGCAATCCCACAATGCATCACGAATGAAGACTGCGCATGCGCAGAAAGCTAACCGTTGCTAAGCACTCTGCATCACCACATAGCGCCAGCTGACGTATCGATCTAAACAAATAGTATCGATATCAAGTTGGGAACAAGGGTTTGTGTTTTAACCAGTTTATTTATGCCTGAAGAAACATTTAAAACTGAAAACTTTAAATTTTCTGTGAAAATTTAGTGTGAATGTTGAGAGAATAGGGTAGTGAATTGAATAATAGCAAAACTTTAAATAAATGATTTACAGAGTTGTAAAGTACTATTTTGTCACTGTACTAAAGTAGATTTTTTGATTATCTGTACTTCACCTGAGTAATATTTTTCAGCCTACTTTTTACTTCTACTTCTTACATTTTCACACAATTATCTGTACTTTCTACTCCTTACATTTTTAAAGAAGGCAAGAAGTAGAAAGTAATTTTCGTTTAATTTTTGATTGTTTTCATTCCAGCTTGTTTTTATGAAATATTATAAAAAAATTAAATACTATCCATATAATCTGTGCCTCCTGGATAGAGAGAATTTAATTAAAATGTTAATTTAAAGGTTTCCTTTAAAACTGAACACTAGATTTTCTTTGAAAACTCAGTTGGAATGTTCAGTGCTGAACAGAGTTTTATAAAGTACCACAAAGTGATACTTAAGTAAAAGTACAAATATCTTTCCAAAAACTACTTTGTTAAAAGTTAAAATCTCCTTTAGGAATATTACTTGAGTAAAGGTCTTAAAGTATCTGATATTTTTTGTACTTAAGTATTAAAAGTAAAAATATTGATTTAAAATGAGCAGTTAGATTTTCTGTAAAGACATTTATTAGGAGGTGACCTCCTCAACAACTGCAGAAATGACTGTTCTATTAAAATATTTAATTTATGTTAAATTTAGGATGCACTAGTCCAGCTGTTTCAGTTTATATACATATATCAAGGCTGCACAAAGCTTTTCCCCAAAATGAAAATCTATCTGAGGGCTGCGGCCAAATGTAATAATATAATTCATGAAATACAAATACTTCTTAACCACAGTCCTTTTATTTGAATGATTACGTCCTGCAGTGTGACACGATTTGTTTGTGTACAAACTAATACGATATCAGAGTTTTACACATTTGTACTTCTCATTCAACCAGTCAAATTCACTCTATCTAGGAGGCWCAGTTTACATGGATAGTATTAATTTTTTTTACAATAACAAGCTGGAATGAAAAGAAGCAAAAATGAAATAAAAGTAACGACTTTCTACTGCTTGCCTTTTTTAAATTGTAAGGAGTAAAGTACGGATAATTGTGTGAAAATATAAGAAGTACAAGTAAAAAGTAGGCTAGGAAAAATACTCAAGATACCCAAAAGTTCTACTTAAGACAGTAAGTATTTGTACTTAGTTACTTTACAGCTCTGGTGCTGAGTATGGTAGTAAATTGAAAATAGCAAAACTAAATAATAGCTGAATTATTTATAAAAGAAAGACAGACAGTAAAAGTACAACAATGGTAAAAGCAAAAGGAGACATAAATAAGACAAAACAAGACCTATTGAGAGACAAAAGTTTTCCATGATGCAGAAGGAAAATCAAATAGAGCGTGCATGCTAAATTGTATTTTTAGAGGATTGAAAGCAACTCATTTAATTTCYGTGAAATATTAATGCCTAAAAAAGTTCAAGAATTCAAAACATATAAATGTTATAAAAACCAAAGTCCTGATACCTGAAAGGTTCAAATAACTGAAATTAATCTGAAGCATCCACAGAAAATACAAAAGACTTCATAAAAGGAAAATGTAAATAAAATAAACTGTAGTCATCATCAGTTCCTAAAATTAGTTCAAATGTGTCTGCAGATAAACAACACAAAATATTACACATCCTAATTTATTGTAGACAAKAAAAGTAGTTTGGAACATTACAGGCAGTGTGCCATAATACTAAAGCTTGTTAAACCACATTTTCAGATAATTATCGCCTGTGTCTCACTATWGAGGATGTACTGTAATCTTCTCTCTTTTTTTTTAATCATAGGCTCACAGCTACACAATCCTGTCATGTTTTATATCTGGTTAAAATCAGAACTTTGACCAGTTGAACACAGAGATAATTTTTATTTCCAGCCATTAAAGTCCATTTTAACACCAGAACATTTTTGCCAAACAGAGGAATTCACGCTCAGCTTGCAGAACCCGCCCAGATCATTAAGGTCCCCCCTCCGTGCTGACAGCTGGTGTGGCGTGTTGACTTTTCTCCAAACGTCTTTGTAGCAGCTGTCATGGGAGTTTGYGTGAATGCGTGCGTGTCGATGTTTTAGCAGGTAGTGGTATTTTCTTTGTTTTTTATTTATGGCAACATATTATGTTAAACCTGTTTGACTGGTTCAGTGAGATTAAAAAAAATCAAAGAAAAGGGAGAACAGGACAGCAAACACATAGACTTGGTGCTACATGTTGAGGAGGTAAGATATGTTTTATAAGTAACTTTAAAGGCAAATATCCTGGTACTTCTCTTGTTTTAAAAGCCTCAAAGAAGAGGAAAAAAAGCTTTTTAAATGTGTGAAATGTTGTGTTTAATGAGAGGTTTGCAAAATAATGGCTTTAGTTGTTAATTAAGCTTTGTGTTTATCGTTTTGCTGCAAAAGAGACGATTATCAAAGTGCTGATTTCACTTAAAGAAAAATCTAGAGATGTTTTAGCTTGTCTGTGCAGCCATAAACAAAAAAGTAGTAAATGTGAGTATTTTATTTAACAACTGGCAATTTTTGTGGTCTTGTTGAAGGGAATGATGCTTCGCTGGTTTGTGTTTGTTCTGCTTGTTGGCGTCTCTGCCGGTGCAGAGGAAGAGAAGAAGAAAGCGAAGCTTCCCTCCCTGGYAAACGGTGAGTTGTTTTGTCACAACTCTATACAAAACATTTACAATAATAGGAAAATCAGAGGTGTACAAAGTACTTGAAAAATAACAATGAAGTAAAAGTAAAAACACTTTAACAGAAAATGACTGGTAAAAAAAATTCACTGATGAGAAAAGTACTTAAGTAAAAGCTATAAAACTGCTTACAAAAATTGGGAAAACAATAGTACTTTTACACACTCTTTAAGAAATAAACTGAATTTACTGAACCTCTTAACAGTCTTTGTTCCACCGGTGGGCAAAAATAGTGGAGTTTCTGTACTAAATAATTAGCTTTGAAATTAAATATTTAGTTTGGAACTATGACATTTATAAATGTATGAATATCAAGGTAAAAATATTACTTTAAAAAAATGCCCCCCCCCCCCTATTTTTTTCTTATGAAAAGCTAAATAAAGCTAAATTTTGCTGGTAATTTTTGGCAGTGTAACTTTATAAAAGACACCCCATATTTCTGCCTTCAAACATTCCCAGACGCTACCGGGGACTTTTATTTTGAAGACTAATGTGTCAGACAACTTCCTCTGGTTCTTACCTTTAGTTTGGCACCTTTACAAAAAAAAACTATAGGCTTTTAAGGAATTTCAACCRAACTGGTTCCACTAAATCAAGTCGAGAAAATGTGTAAATTGCTTCACTTTTACTATACTAGGTTTAATAGAACCAGTTGACATGACTTTGTTGAGTAAATTCAACACTCCATTTTTAGAGTGAATAAACAACCTTTTTCATGATGAGTTCAGACATATTTAATTTTGTAACAAGTAACTAGGTGTTAAATTTTAAAGTGAAATTAAAAGTATAAATTTTAGGTTTTAAATGTAGCGAAATAAACGTAAAAGTAGCTATTGAAAAATACTTTGGTAAAGTTACAAGAGTACTGCAACTTACTATGAACGTCTGAAGAATATAACTTAAGTTTTTCCACCATAACAGACAATAAAGTTGGAGTTTTGCCTGTAAAACACACAGTTTATTAGGAGTAATGGGACCAAAACTATACTTATTTTTTCTTCAGGGTGGGGAAATAACATTAAATGGGTGAAAAGTTATGAGGACGGCCTATCAGAAATGCAAAAGAGGTAAGACTTTAAACATGTTGCTGGATCAGTTTGTTAAGTTTGTTCATCTCTGCGGTCCTAAAGTAAAAGAGCGGATTATGATAAAGTATTAATCATTTAAAACCCGACACGGCTGTTCGTTTTCTCGGTGGTATGTTGTATTAGCGAGCGTTCAAGCCCATTAGTGTGCTTATTGTGTTGAGGAATGCACCGAACTGTTTCACTGTTCTCTCATCTTCCCAGTCAGAAGCCTCTGATGGTCATTCATCATCTCGACAACTGCCCACACTGCAAAGGTAATGCAACAGTGCTGCTTTTTTGTGTGTTTTATTTGATTCATTTTGYTTGCAGAAGTAAAGTGTCACATGCAAATAAAACAGGTAGAGCTGCACAATCTGCTGCGTCACGGCCATTCAAAAGGTGGGCTTGGCTTGACTGGGATTATTCCTGAATACCTGCACAGCCGGCCGTGTTGGTTCTGACTCATTCAGCTGGTTTTAACTCTGTCAGACACACAAAAAAGTTCCTATGCACAAATCAGTCTGCTTCTTGTTTTGTCTTTAAGTTTTTAGTAAAGAGCTGTAGAACAATAAAATCAAGCCTTTAAAACACAAGCTTAATTGAGAAATGTTTAAATGTCTAAGTTATAGCTGTTGTTTCAAAAAGTAAGTTCTCACTCMCAAACTTGTGTGTAACTACTTCAAAATCCCCCAGAGGAAGCAAAAGTTTCAAAAAGTTGAGGGTACGGTGTGAGCTGGAAGTATATTTTGTTGACATTTATAAAATAACTTGTTTCATGATGTGCAGGAAATACTCTGTAATAAAATCATGAATACATTAAGGCTCTGAAACTAAACAGAATCGTTTCAACAGCACTGAAGAAGGCGTTTGTTGCTGATAAGTCCATCCAGAAAATGGCCAAAGAAGACTTCATCATGCTCAACCTGATGGTAAATAAAGACTTCACAGTAAAATCAGCAATTCTTAAAAACCCCAAAAGCTTACAAAGCTTTAAAAAACAATCAAGAATAAATTAAACTTTTGTAAATAATGGATGGATGGATGGATGGATGGATGGATGAAAGCACGGATGGACGGATGGATGGATGGATGGATGATGGATGAGTGGATGAATGGATGGACGGATGGATGGATGGATGGATGGATGGATGGATGGATGAATGGATGGATGGATTGATATATGAATGGATGGAGGGATGGATGGATGGATGGATGGATGGATGGATGGATGGATGGATGGATGGATGGATATATGAATGGATGGATGGATGGATGGATGGATGGATGGATGGATGGATGGATGATGGATGGATGGATGGATGATATATGAATGGATGGGTGGATGGATGGATTGATGGATGGATGGATGGATGGATGGATGAATGGATGGATGGACGGATTGATGGATGGATGGATGGATGGATGGATGGATGGATGGATGAATGAATGGATGGATGGATGGATATATGAATGGATGGATGGATGGATGGATGGATGGATGGATACATGAATGGATGATGGATGGATAGGTGGGTGGATGGATGGATGGATGGATGGATGGATGGATGGATGGATATATGAATGGATGGATGGATGGAGGGATGGATGGATGTATGGATGGATGGATGATGGATGGATGGATGGATGGATATATGAATGGATGGATGGATGGAGGGATGGATGGATGTATGGATGGATGGATGATGGATGGATGGATGGATGGATATATGAATGGATGGATGGATGGAGGGATGGATGGATGTATGGATGGATGGATGATGGATGGATGGATGGATGGATATATGAATGGATGGATGGATGGAGGGATGGATGGATGTATGGATGGATGGATGATGGATGGATGGATGGATGGATATATGAATGGATGGATGGATGGAGGGATGGATGGATGTATGGATGGATGGATGATGGATGGATGGATGGATGGATATATGAATGGATGGATGGATGGAGGGATGGAT